ATAATAATAACCTTTTTGAAAATTGGGGTGTTACAAGATAAGGAAGAGAAAGAAGAGAGAGAGGGAGAGAGAGAAGAGAAGATGAGAGAGAGAGAGTGAGGAAAAAGGGAGAGAAGCAAAAAATGCAAGGGACAAAAAAGAAGAAGAAACACACAAAAAAAAGGTTATGCAAAATCTCAATGATTTTTGTGAGATTATTAGATGATTGAATTATATGTAAATTCTATTCAATTCTCTCACGAAATTCATTCATCAAATTAATCTATTGAAATATCTATATTTTTTAATACAAGTAGATTTTTTTAAGTTAAAAGAAATCTTAATTGAATATTACCGTATTTTGATATACTCCTAAAAAAATCATAATTATCTTAATTAAATACCACTAAATTTTGATAAATTCTTAAAAGAAAATCCTAATTATTTTAACCAATACATCTTCTAAATTTGATATCCGTAATAAATGTTTTAGATTTGAGTCTTGTGTAAAAAAAAATAATGTAATTGTAAAGAGAAAACCTCAAATTTTCAACAAAAATTAGTCATTGAAAAAATTGGTAAATACATTACACCAATATCATAATTATCAAAGCAGATTAATTTAGTCTTATATAATATGGTAATCAAATTAAATTATTAATTTTTATGAAATAATCTTATAATTAATTAAGTATTTTAGAAGAAAAAAAATCTAGTAAGATCCTTGTGCGTTTACACAAGTCATTTTCCTTTTCATACGGATTCAAAATATGTTTATAATTTTTTTTACGTACAAAAAAACATAATTTGTTGTTTAAGTTCTCTTAAGACACAGTATTTGAGTGTAAAAAAATAATTTAACAAAATCTCAACTTATGAGGTTATTTAAACGATTACAAAATAATATTTGAAAATAAAGTCCATTGATTTGAATGAACAAAGAAAGAGTTCATCTAATTAATTTCTAATATTTATTATTTTTTTTGTAAAAAAATTGGTCATTAATTAAATATATTTTTAAAAAATAATGCAAGAAACAATTTGAAAAATAATTTTATATAAAAGAATAAATAATTAACTAAATATCTTATATATAGAAGTTCAATAGTATTTATGATTTAGGCTTAAATATGTTTTTAGTTATTTAAATTTAAGGTAATGTTATTTTTAGTCCCTCAAATTTAAAATTAGTATTTTTGTCCCTATAATTTAAAAAAAAATTATTTTAATCCTTATATTCAAATTTTATTTAAAAATTTATTAAATACTATCGCATAAAATTTATCTCTTGATACTTTTGTTAGTAAAAATACTATATTAAACTCAGTTGATGATATATAATAGTCTCAATCTATCACTTTCAAATATATTATTAATAACATGGGAGATTAAAATAAAAATTTTAAAAATTACAGAACTAAAAATAATAATTTTAAATTTTAAAAAATAAATTAAATTTATCTTAAATTTAAAGGACTAAAAATATATTTAAACCTATTATTAATTATCTAATACAAGAGAAAGTTTTGTCACATGATATTACCATATTCATTATTTTCTGATCATCTAAACTTTATCAATTTTTAATTTATAAAAAAAAATTATATTTAATTTAGTAATTAATGTGATTTTAACAAATACATTATAATTAAACCAATCAATTTTTTTTACATAAATTAAATCATTAAAACTTAAATATATATTCTGATTTTATATAATAATGTAGTAAATTTATTATACTTTTGTTTTTAATTAATTACAATACACATATGATTCAAATTTATTATACAATTACATTATTATAAAAGAATATTTTGTTATGTAGTCAATTCCGATCAATGTAATTTATCTAAATAATTAAGATAATTATAACTAATATATTTTAATTAATATAATTAATGTTATTTTAAGTTAAAGTAATTAATATAATTATTTAATATTAATTAGGATAATTATAACAATATGTGTACTTATTTTTTTTCCTCTGTCAATTTTTTGTCATTTTATTTATTTTATGGTTGACTTCTCTATAAAGATTTGTCATTAATGATAAAAATAAGGGAAAATTTTGAGTAAGTTCATTTTTTCCCTTCATTATATTTTTATTTCTTTTTTCATTTTCTTATTGACCATTTTCACTTCTCTATTTATTTTTCCTTTCACCGCACTTAACATGTTAAATAATTTTACTTTTATTGGGTCTCACTTTTTAGCATTTTACAAATGTGAAACTTTGAAGACAAATATAAGAAGAATTTATAGGTAAATTCATATTATTTATTAATTTTTAAAAATTAGTATTTTAAATTTTATTGAATAATATGAATTTAAATTCATATTATTACTAATTTTTATTACCTTTCCTTTGTGGAGAGTTTTAACATTTTTTTACATTCTATTTATTTTTTGGTTGATTTATTATGCCTTTGATTTTTTTCTTCATATGTATTGATATATAAAAAAGTTTTCATAATTTTGAGTTTCTTTATGTATTTGTTAGTTCATTTTTTTTCGAATTATGAGTTGAGTTATATGGTGAAAAATATTTATTTTCAATTTCTGAATATTGTCTAACATGAGTGACTATATGGTGTAGGAAAAAAAATGATTCTTTTATTAAGTATTTGTGATAATAAAGACAATGCAATGAAAAATAACACAAAACTGTCAAATAAGAGTACAATAATCCAATGAAAAACAAAAGTAATTTTAATTCAACAAATCTTATGAATTGGACATAAACTTTATTTTCATTTCTTGTGGAAAATATTAACTTTAGCTCAGCTTTCACTTATTCTTGAACTTCTGCAAATGATTAGTTATGAATAAATGTTTCTGATGAATCAATCTCCCATGAATTCAAAGAAATATCTATTAAATTAAATTATAACAAACAAAAGTAAGTCACTTACCCTCTACCTTATTTTTTTTAGGAAGATTTTCTTAAATGTTAACAAGTATTGTGAAAATAAAACTTCAAATTCTGATAGAACAACAATATCAACCAATATTATATTTAAATTTTGTCAAAAAGAAACTATACTATAACAAAAACCATATCAATTATGATCAGGAATTTCATTCTTATGTTAGCACAACACATGAAAATGGGAAGGGAGAGGGGGTGGAAGAAAGCCATAATGAAATAAAAAAGCAAGAAACAGAACTTGTATTTCTAACTCATGACAAACAAACTTAAAAAATAAGCTTTGAAATTCAGCAGAAATCTGGCCTTGTTCTCTTACGAACTGATATAGAACCTCTCTGATGATCCCAGAAGATTTTGATCTCAGAAGAATCCCTCAAATCCTCGAGACTAATATACTGCTGCTTAGCCATCCTTAAGGAATGACATCCTGTGTCATGAATCCAAATATAAGGATGGCATGTTTCATCATAGTAATACAATAAGCTCTTCAAACTCCCTCCAACACTGCCACTCCTTCCAGTCCCAGGCATATATGCCTTATATATGCTTTTACATTTCATTCTTTTGGAAGAACCTGGCTTCAATGTGTGAATCTTCTTCAGTATTGATCCCACCCTTATTTGCAGCTCCACTGGTCGATCACTCAGGTTCCATATCCTTGTTCCATACCCTGACCCTTGAGTGTGGTCACGACAACTATCGAAGCAGCCACCAAAAGATAGAAGGCTAAAACCTTGCACTTTCCCCATGTGTTCTTGTGTTATAGAAACTTCACTATGTATATAATATAGCCCTCACATAAATGATGATTTTTGTGATAAAGTCTAGTTACTTTGCAAATCAAGGGGTCTCTAATTCTGAGGCTATGGAATAGGATATTGTGTAGCATTGTCCTTTAGACACCTCACAATAACAGAATCTTGTTTAGCCCTTCCATCAAGGAAGTGATAGGGTCCTTAGACGCCAAGGTTCAACAAGAAGACAGTAGAAAAGTTTATTGGCAGTGACAAAATTATATAAAATTGTTAGAATAGCTTTTTCTTTGTTTCTTTGGGAACGAAAAAGATGCTATTGGAAACAGTAGCACGCATTCAAAGATTCATGATGAGGTCTCATATCATCATGTTGTCTCACCTTTATCGCGAGGTTGGGGTTGCTTTTGATTCAATCCAAGTTGAATAAATAACATTACCCTCGATAAGAAGTGCTTTTCTTTTCTCTTAGCTCTTAACTTTTTACTTTCCTGGGTCAAGTTCTTGACTATATCTTTATTACCCTTCAGAATGAGACAATGAACCTGGTAAGTGGTAAAGTGTATGACCTGAGGCTGTTGGTGTTGGTTGGAACTAGGAAGTAGGAACACAACATATAGATAGGGTGGTTAGTGTTGGTTGTTGCTGCCAGTCATATTCTGTCAAATTTTGTACAAAAATTTTAATATTGTAAATTTCTGTCGATACAAATTTATTTATTTATTTACTTTCTTTCATAGATGTACGATAAACAACCACCACCAAACACTTTTTCCACTATAGAGTTGACTATATGAATAACGATGTCATAGTATTTTGTTAATTATAAACAAATCATTGGTCTTAATTGTTTTGATTTTAGTTCTTCTTAGTCTCCAATCCATATGTACCTCTGACAACTAAACTACCCTACATTTGATCTATTTTCCTTATGAGTGGAAAGAAGAAAAAAGATAGAGGAAAAATATAATATATGACAAATAATGTAATAGGAATTGAACAGAGAAATATAGGTTGGAGGATGAGGTGAAAGAAAGAGAAAGTAGATATATGTTAAGTATTTCTCTTTCTTAACGAGATTTCTGTCTTTCTCTCTCTATATATATATATAAGCTCAAATCAAACCGCACAAATCAAGAATCTCCACACATCAATTTATAGTAAAAAAGAAGAAATAACTAGGGAGGTTAAATCTACATCTAATAGTAACATTAACATCTTTCATTATTCTTTGCTTTATGAGATATAGCTATGAAAACACTAGTCAATATTTACAAAAGTCAATATTTACAAAATTAACATATATAGCATACATAAAGAGTTAGTGTACAAAACAGGCAAAAGTACAGAGGTTGGAGAGATGAATTACATAAGAAAGCTACTTTTATTTGAGAATAAGTAACAAATCTTAATGATTGGCCAAAATTAAAACATAAAAATCATGCATATATATATATATATATATATATATATATATAT